AAAATAAAATCATAAAAACCGCAAACACTTTGTCGTCTCTATTCGTGAAAAGTATTGATTTCTTCTTTACGTAATACTCAGCGATCGATACGATAGGCGCCAGACTTTGGCTCAAAAATTGTCACTTCTTATTCACACATTTTGTCCCAATTTTGAAATCAAAATATAAAAACAGCTCTAATTTGATTCAATTATTGGTACAGTTTTTTAGTGTAAAATTAGATACAATTATCATTGATTATGAGCGCACAAGTAATTGAAAAGTTGGAACAGTTGTGGAGTATTCTTAACGAGAGTGTCAACGAAGAGGTGAGGTTGAAGTGGTGGCTAACCATTCAAAATGAATACAAAGATAATCAGCTCAGAAAACACTACGATCTCAATCATATTGCAAACATGTTTATCCATTTGGATGAGAATCAGGTGAGACATCATTCCTATCGTCTAATTATAACAAATTCCTATCCGTTTTGTCCGCAGATGAAGATTAAATCTGCCCGAAGTGTCTCTTACGCCATATTCTTTAAAAAGTAATTACATAATCGAATTGATTGTCAATGAATTTCAATGTAATCTAATTTTATTGTATTTAAAAATTAGTTTAAGTTATGATCCAAAATGTGTGGACAATGAGGAGAAAAGCATCGATTTATTCAAACAATTTGCAAAAGAAGCTGATATTAACGATGTATGACTGCTATAGTGTTATAATTAAATTACAAGTTATCAAAATTACTATTATATTAAATTTGGCAATAATTAAATTTCTATGATATTTACAGACGAATCCAATTTATACAGAAGTGATTGAATTAATACTTCTGACAAAAACTCATTTGACTGAAGAACACAAAAGTGAAACTCTGTTCGGCACTCAAGACATCCATTATTTTCTCGATTTTGACTTAAGTTATTTGGGCTCAGATTCTGACAGTAAATCACAATTAAATTATCAAAACAAATAACAATTCTAATAATTATTAAATTATTTAAAAAAATAGACTATACTTTGTATGCGTTGAGTATACGAAACGAGTATGACTTCATGTCGGAAACGGTTTACAAACAAATTCGTGCAAAAGTATGCAATAATTATTATTAAATTGATGTTTAAATGACTTATACATTGCTGTGAGTACTTAACTATAGATTATCCCTTCAGGTCCTCAAATCATTGCTAGAAATCCCCAAAATATACTCAACACAAGAATTTTACGACAAATACGAAACTAAAGCCCGGAATAACATCAAGAATGAGATCGAAGTATTGGAGGCATAATTGCATCGATCGGTTGAACGCAACTATTTTTAAACCACAACTAAATTAACATATTTTTTGAATATTTTTTCCTCTCATTTGCTAATTGTCTGAATTTATGTCTTAAATGTAATCAATTAAACAATTTGTGTCTTTACTTGTGTATCAAATAAGATAACAATAAAACGATTGCCTATAAATCACTAATTCATTAAAAAGTATTATTTTATTCACCATATTCTTTGGTTTTCACAGAATATTCTTTAATCTCTTTGAATCTCAATAGAATATATCATTCAGTAATTGTCATCATTTAGTCCAATAAATCTTCACTTATTTATAATCTTAAGTTATAAATTATATAAAAATAATTATTATCAGTTAATTGCATTCACGTTTAAATAAAAGATCACAAAATAGTCACTATAATAGTCATGAATTTATTGATATTTTGATCACAAATTTTAAATCATAAATTATTGCCATATTTTATAAATATTAATAAATAATTTGTTTCACTCAAACTCCACTCTATTGTAATTTTTAACCACAATTTATTTATGAAGAATGTGGGGACTAGGGTTGGCAATATACAAATTTTGTATTATACAATTGTATTATTCCTTGTATTATTCCTTGTATAATACAAAGCAAGATTTGCCTTTTTGTATAATACAAAAGTGGTACAGCGCCACCTATTGGTAAAATATT